TCTGATATAAGCCTCATAATATTGATATTAGGCAATCGATTGGGATGGAAAATTACATATCTTTTTAACCAAAGCTTAAACATTTATCATTATGAAACATCTGTGATTCAAATCCGTTCACTACTTGCGTGACTACTCAGCTTGGTGACCTGCTTGATTTGCATATCCAGACTGGTACAAACAGACACACAATACAACCTTGCACTTCACCATATAAGTGCAATAATATTTAAAGATGACATTAAATCCTAATATGCCAAATTCAGATTCATTCATGCAGGTTGTGTATGAAACTGTCACCTTGTACATCAACATAAAAATGGGTGTCACATGACAGGATAAAGATCAAAGAGTGTATAAATGTCTGTGAACATCAGGAATTGAATAATGAATTGGGAATTCAACTTTTAAAATTCAAATTTAAAACTCTTTTGAGTGCAGAAATACTAACTGACATGCATCTCAGATATAAATTATCCACTTGTGTGTGATCTCTGACACTTTAGTGAATACGCCTATATTTTATAACAGTGTGATTAGCATGATTAGGCATGTCTTGTTTTATATTGTTTAAGGATTCAACTAACCTAACCTAAAACCCAGGACCACAGAACAAAATAAACCTAATTACGTTAAATTTCATCTGCACTACAGTGCTACCTCTCAATAACTGAGTATGTTGATAAAACAAAAATACAACGAGGCACAAATAAACAATTACATAATTTTTAGTAATCATTTACTTCTTCAACAATAATTAATCAATCAAATATGCTCTGTATGAGTAGTGTTCTGCCAATTCAATCCTCTCAAAACCTGCATAAATAAGATAAAACCCTCCTCAGAAAAGATACCGTTGTTTTTGGCATGCTGTTTAACGTGCACTATATTCCAGCTATATTGCAATAGACTATCGCCATAGCAACCAAGTATGTTGCAATAGACTAACCATATCATTAATCGATGGGAAATGAACAACTATCAATGTTTAGTAACTGACTTCTGTTGAGCAATAGCAGACTCGCGATTCATTGAGTACTGTTTACTTGATCTGGTTGCAGTTATTAAAAGAGACTGAAAATAGACTATGATTTAAAAATAACTATTGCAATATAGTAACTGTTGCAATAGACTATCGCCAGAGCAATAGTATGTTGCAGATAGACTAGTAATAGACTATCGCCATATAACAATAGTATCGCCATAGTTGCAATCGCCATAGCAATAGACTATCGCCAGTAGCAATACTTCGCCATATGTTGCAATAGACTATCGCAATAGTATGTAGCAATAGACTATCGCAATAGCAATAATATGGAGCAAATAGACTATCACCATAGTAGCAATGTTGCAATAGACTATCGCCATAGCAATAGTATGTTGCAATAGACTATCGCCATAGCAATAGTATGTTGCAATAGACTATCGCCAGTAGCAATAGTATGTTGCAATAGACTATCGCCATAGCAATAGTATGTTGCAATAGACTATCGCCATAGCAATAGTATGTTGCAATAGACTATCGCCATAGCAAAGTAGCAATAGTATGTTGCAATAGTATATCGCCAGAGTAAGCAATAGTATGTTGCAATAGACTATCGCCATAGCAATAGTATGTTGCAATAGACTATCGCCATAGCAATAGTATGTTGCAATAGACTATCGCCATAGCAATAGTATGTTGCAATAGACTATCGCCATAGCAATAGTATGTTGCAATAAACTATCGCCATAGCAATAGTATGTTGCAATAAACTATCGCCATAGCAATAGTATGTCACAATAGACTATTGTCATAGCAATAGTATGTCGCAATAGACTATCGCTATTGCAATAGTTGTTCCCCCTTCACTTGTTGCCTCTTACAAGCATGGGTTCTGAAGACCAATTTTCACCTGGATCTTCAAGGGTAAGAAGAGATATATTACTGTCTAAACAGCAAATAGCCTGAGCTTTAGGCACTATTTTACAGCCAAAAAAAACAAAATTCATCTTTACTACAAAACTTATCAATATATTGAGGTATACATTGTACAAAAGTATGTCTATTTTCACTGCCTAAAGCTAACTGTTTGGGAAACTTTGTAAACCATAAAACAAATGTGTATGGCCTAACATTGTGATTTATAGCCATACACTAGAGTACAACGATGTACACAGGCCTCCAAAATAACCTTTCCCCTTCTGGGACATGGCTTCCTCGTTCTTAACTTACAATATATTACCATAGAAAAACTGAATTTTGAGGACCAAAAACATCAGTCTGTAGAAGTTCACGACTTACATCAGTCTAAGGGGGTCGGTTTATTTACAGGTTACACTTTTCGTCAAAACCTTTTTATGGGTAAGAAATCAACATCTATTGGTTCGCATGAGGAACAAGAGAAGAGAAGATATACTAACCTTTTCGCTAACATTAGCACATGAAAGATTCCAAATGCTATTTTCCGACGATGCGGCTTTTCTGAGTGAAAAGATATTCAAAGGATGTCATCTTGCGAAAATATGCAGTTGGTCAGAGAGAAAAATTCAAAAGCAGCTTTTGTAGAGTCCGCCGAACCCCCCCTAACAAATAGTTGTTGTCTGATTGGTTAAATCAAGCCTGGGCATTGGATGACCAACCTCCAGAGAAGGAAACTTGCACCAGCATCAAAGTTTTGCATTTTCACTGATACAAAAAAGATTGTGATATTTTTATAAGTGCTGATTATACTCAAACAATGATAATAGATAAAAAATATATTAACTGATACAGTTATATGTTGTCTTTTTATTTATTTTATAATCGAATACCGAACTATGTTTTATCTGTGCAGCTGAACAAAGAAGTGAACAATCTTAGCTCATAGATGGGAGAATTTGAATTTTTGTTAGTCAGATTTTCTCAGAGTCATAATATGTAAATTTAATTAAACAAAATTGGTAGCATATAATAAATAGAATATTTTATGTGTCTTGTGAAATGATGTAACTGTCATGTCATGATGAGAAGAAAGTAATATTTTCACTCGAGGCTAGACATTTGTCAAGTCGCTCAATGACAGATACATCACATTTCACTAGACACATGAAACATTCTCCACATATCCATCAGTTCATTATATATACTACCAATCGGAAGTTCAGACTCACTAGCATAAATATAGCCACTTACTTCAGTCAACTGTTCAAAACTAGATTTTGCTAAATATTACATAATGTTTAAAGGTACTGTTTATACATGAACTGATGTATTGTAAAACAAATTCGTAACGTTGAAAACATTATTTTCATGAGTTCAAAAAATCATGAAACTCAGTGAAAATTGGCGAATTCTTAACAAAGCTTTACATCAAAACGCAGTTGTTCACATGCACGATATTTGCACATGCTTTTCAGAAAATTTGATGCATGAACCTCGTGCAATTCATCTGCATAAGGTTTGCAGATGGTTCCCCTAAGTTAGTGGAGAAATTCATCTTTGATGTAACCATATATATTTACATAACATATAGTGAGTGCTTTAAGTGAGTCTAAACTTTTGATGGGTGGTATACGTGTGTCCATATAACAATAGATTGTTGTAGGCATTTTAACTGGAATATGCAACAAGTGCCCAAGACCAAAAATATGTTTGGCTATCTCTGTCAGTTCATTATAACCATGTTTACTATAAACAAAGTTTACAGTGTGCAGTAATGTCATTCTATTAAAAACAAGTGCAGATCAAAACAATGGTGTCACACCTGCAAGCATGACAACAAATGACTAGGGATAAAAATGATGCGGAATGTCACAATATGATACGTATCTCGATACACTGGTCATATGATATGTAACATGATATGACAGCATCTGAGCAACAAGGAAATGAACTAAACATGTCGAGAGACTGTCTGAATTTGAAAGTCACATCAATACCAAAAAAACTCACTTCAGCCCCCGACAAAGCCTTTTAAGGATGTCAAAATAACAAACAGCACAGAGATTGTATAATTATATAATGATATTCTTTTGCAAAATAATTAAACAAACATATTTTGTATCATCATGTACCAGAATACATAACCATGTAAATTGCGAATCATACAGAAGGTACCACATAACACAGCACTGCTGTTTTGGGGTATCACAGCCCCTTACAGTGAGTACCTGTGAAGATCTGGGTGAGAATTGGTCTTCAGCAACATATATAACTAAGATGCTTATAATATAACAGAATGTAGTTTTTATTCCCGACCATTTTACATATTTTAGTTGAACTGCTTATAATGATCTAGTCATCACAATATGCCTGAAATATTGACGATGTGACGGAAAATTTTAACTCACTCACTATAATGAACTATGGTTATAGCCAACTAAAACATTTACATATCATTCAAACCCTTACTTTCCTCATCAGCTGTGTCTTCATTTCTCACCATTGAAGAGTGTGTTAGCTGCATCAAAATCTGGATGTCGTCACACTACCTCAAACTGAATGATGATAAAACTGAACTCATAGTGTTTTCCACCCTAAAGCGTCTGCCAACCCAGTATCTCTCTTCCTAAATTCAGCATCGGTCAGTGTTGAGATTCAGCCAAACCATGAGGTCGCGAAACTTGGGAGTTATTTTTGATTCTTCACTGTCCATGGAGCCACACATCAATAACATCTGTCTGTCGAGCGTGCTACCACATTAAGTAACATCGGCATGATTCGACGATACCTGGGCGATCAAGACTACAGCATCTCTTGTTCAGGCATATGTAACATCTCGTCTTGACTACTGTAATCGCTTCTTGCTGGCCTCCCAAACAATCTTATACACAAGCTTCAGAAGGTGCAGAATACTGCAGCCAGAGTGGTCTCTCTGTCAAAGAAATCGGACCACATTACTCCTGTTCTTCACTCACTTCATTGGCTTCCGTCCACTACCGCATAAAATATAAAATCCGAAAAGTTGTGGTGCCGTGGTGTTCATTATAACTGTAGTTTACTGTCATGGAAGTGAAGCTAAAGTGGTTGGTGAACTTACGGGATCATATATAACTTTAATCAACAGAGAGCAGCTGGGGCACTTGGCCACATCTTCGCCAGACTCAAGTTCCTCCTGAAACAGAGATTACATACAGATGAAAATTTCAATTCAACAACAATGTATTTTCAATGATTTTGTCATTAAAGTATAACACTGGTCAGACTGAGGATTTATCAGGATTTTAAACTAAGAGTGTGAGTATTATATCTAACTTTAGATTGTGAAAACACAAAAATTGGTGATCACTGATGTCAATGTGGCCTTTCCATATCAAAATGTTATATTTGTTGAGTAGAGTTGTGGTCCTTTGGCATGCCTGAATCCTATGATAAACGGTTTACTTTGTTTATATGCAAAATTTGGCCTGCTTTTAATTATGACTTTTTCCTTTGTATACTCATTGGTTTCTCTAAAGTTGTGAATATGTATGACTTGCATCATCTAGTGTGTTCCTCTCACACTATGTGATGTTTGGCCATAGGTGGGCCACATGTGTCACACTTGATTTTGAATTACAGAAAGTTAACATACTTGGTGGTAACGTATTAACAAAGAGATTGGTAGGAACAGATGACGGAAAATTCATCTACCAAAACATTAGTTCATCATGTTCATCACTGAATGAACTGACCCTGATTTTGGGTGTGGGCATGGGTTTTGAGATATATACGGTCATGTAAAGAGTACAGATATATCGATATTAAGGGTGTCACGATTCACTCTCATTTCGATTCAATGCGATTATCGATTCAATTCGTTCGATTCGATTCACCAAATCTGAGGACAAAGTCAAATTTGTTGTTATATCAGTTTAATTTGGCAAACTTTTGAATATTGGTACAATGCACAATTAAAACACTGTCAAGACAAGTTGTCAACAAATACTCACTGAACAAGAGATCATGAGATTAAGTTTCAGTCACGAACTCTGGTGTCAAGTGTTCATTGTGACTGTAATGTCACTGTAAGTCATTTGGAATGATCATGTTCTGTGCAAGGAAGTTTCACTTGAAAGACCTCCCTCTGGGCACTTACAATATCTCCGGCAGTGGAGAATACCCTCTCACTGGCCACACTTGTAGCAGCGAATTTTCAACATACTTTCTTACGATTTCAGGTGAAATAAACTCTCAGTATTAGAAAGTAAGTACTTTATGGATCGAATGAAATGGATGCATTTGAAATCGAGATCGAATCGTACATCTATCGATTCAATTTTCGATGAACCGAACCGAATCGTGACACCCCTAATCGATATGCAGACATAAGCATACCAACAAAGGTAAAGATGATGGATGGACATGCAAGATTGTCTGCTGTTTAAGTTTGTTAAATGAAGATTTCTACTGCAAATATTTCTTCAGAATCCAATGCATGTATGTAATCTGGTTCATTACACCATTTTGGTAATAATACAATAGATAGAATTTTGAAATCTCACAGTTAGTTGGTTTAATAAGACAATTTCTTTGATGGGAATTTTAGAAGTTGAGTTGATGAAGAATGATGACAACTTTTATGGATATACAACTTGTTTTATTCTGTGAAGGGTGACGTTTCGACATAGATTCTAATGTCGTTGTCAAGCAAGTGACAAAGACATTAGATTCCCTGAGTGGCACCTGTGTGCAGTAAGCCATGACTGATAAGGTGTTAGGTCATTAACACGGTATTTGATTGACCTTGATTGGCAGATTGATAGCATTATAATGAGAGGTTGTTACAAAAATACAACTTTTGAAACATTCTCCAAAGAGCTTGTCCAAAGTGAAACAAACAAGCCTTCAGTTGAGCAAATGGCAACAGCAAGCGAACAACATTATGTACAAGCTCAAAGTCCAAAACAACTGTTTTAGGTGAGAATGTAAGTCCAAGAGTCTCACATTTAATTTGAAGAAGCTGGATAAGTAAGTGGTGGGTGGAACCTTTCTTATCAGGAAGCAAACAGACTAGTTCAGGTATAGATCCACGAGGCATGTGTGAGTGGATTATATATACAACTGGTAAAACAGTCTTGGGCAAATTTTGAATGTTCCATCCATTAGTACAGTTGAACTGCTACATAGTCTCTTGAGGTTTTCTACAGTTCCAAGCACAATGATGTGACTGTCGCCACGAACATCATTACATAGGATAAAGTCATCACCAGTCTCTGGTGTGCGTAAGTTAATTTCTTAAAAAGGTAAAAAAGTATAAAAGGCAGGCAAGCAGAGGAGATTACCACAATACCATCAGTAGCGATTTAACAATTATTAAATACTGACTGATTGACTGAGTTTGGTTTTACGCCGCTGTTAGCAATATTCCAGCAACATCACGTCGGGGGACACCAGAAATGGACTTCACACATTGTGCCCATGTGGGGATTCGAACTCGGGTCTTCAGTGTGACGAGCCAACGCTTTAACCATTAGGCTACCCCACCGCCCAATTATTAAATAATTATACCCCGTTAACGCCTAGTTAATTAAGCACTAATAAACTTGAGGCATTCACACCTCATTAATTGAAACTGGTCACCAGTACCTCTGTGGCACGTGGCCTCTACTCAATTTCCCTCTGTGGCCTATGAAATCAGTGATGTGTGACAGAGACAAGTGCCACAGAGGGAAGTTACCAATGAAACAAACTTTGCCAGCTTGAAGCTTAGCATGGCTAATAAGATAATCTAATTAGCCAACACCATACCACGGGTCATTCAGAAATATGTATTTGTTTACTATGTCATTGGCGCCTCTTCATGCACTCGAGGAATAAACATTATTCTGAAAAAGTCTAGACTTGATGAGAATGTGTAACAGCTAACAACGCCGAGAAAACATGACTTGCTGTGGGGTGTGAATCAATTTATTCAGTAGCAGAAGAACAAGAATATTCTGTGAACGTTATCATTATACAGATAAACATCACAGTATAGTTTATATCACAGTGGTATCACAGATTCATTAATAGCTAATGCACTGAGCTGCCTCTTATTTATTCGTTATACGAGGTAACTCCTCCATATCCTACCCCACAACTCAACATTAATATTGCAAAAGGGAGTTTCCACGGAAAAGGCTACCTAACCCTAGTTATGAGTTAAGAGAGGATTGATCGGAAATGGGGTGCAAGGGATAAGGATAAAGTTGGGCGTAACCTATTCTAACAACTAACGCTATGCCTTTATGGATCGAAGACTAGAGCCACTCGATTTCAGAGAAGCGAGAGCTCGAGTCAGCATTTAGGCCAATGAGCGCTAATGTAACCTCTGCCAGGTAAAGTGTACTCTTATCGGTAAAGGAAAGCTAACAACCTTTCTTTTGTCACTAGAAGACATTAAAACATTACCCATTATTGCACGTATTTTCGTCATGCCATCTATCACGAAATTAGAAGACAGGTGTCAACACGACAGCCTATGGTCATTTACCTTACTTATTTGAAACTTATCGCCACATGGACATGGGTAGTAATACGTTTCGGTTTCTTCGTCATACTCCATGTCCTCAATTTCAATTTCATCGTGATACACAGACATTGTGTTCACTTAAATTTAAAATCATGAAATGTCAACAACACGTGTCCTCCATGACACCGGAAGATAGCAATAAGCGGTATGGCGCATGCGTTAGGGAGTAATCATTTGCGTTAGTTCCCTCAGCTCTGCTCATGTTCGAGCTGCACTTTGGTTTAAGTTTAATGTAGACTGTTTATATACCCCAGGTTAAAGTGAATGAATTAGTGTTGCTTCCAGAAGAGTTTGGCTTATATTCCAGAAATATCACATTGGGGGTGGCCAGGAATGGGTTTCAAACATTGTACACTCAAGGTGGATCGAACCCTTGTCTAAAGCGTGAACCATTGAACCTCTGGGCTAACATACCCACCTCTCCCGGTTGTGCAATTGGTTGGACATGTATTTCAATATACACATGTGCAATTTTTTAAATAAGAACATCTATTTTGATCGAGTGGCAGTTTGTCATACAGACCCTGAAACAAAATTAATATCCACGATAGACCATGCAAGTCTACAGTATGTTGCAAGTCTAAATTTCCACAGTCTGAAAATGAAGATCTCTGGGCTCCTAAATTTTCATTACATTTTATGGTTATTATTACTAAACCGTTTTTCAGTAAATGTGTTGATTTCAGAGACTAGATGTTAGTGTAATCGAGTGGTTCCTTAGTATGTGTATGTCAAATACATGCATATATATACTACCCATCAAAAGTTTAGACTTCAGTCAACTGTTCTAAACTAGATTTTACAAAATATTCCATACTGTTTACACATGAGCTGATGTATTGTAAAACAAATTCGTAACGTTGAAAGGATTATTATCATGAGTTCAATAAATGATGAAACTCAGTGAAAATTGACTTTAAGTGAGTCTAAACTTTTGATGGGTAGCATATATACCGACAGAAGAACGTGACTCCTATAAGTATCCAAATAGATGTGGGGCACATATTTGAAATGATAAAAGAACCTATTGCTTCAGTCAGTCTTTACAGTCGCCTCTGACTCACCCAGCTTGTATGGAGTCATTCTGCTGTCACAGGCACAATTTATGCGTCCATATCTCAGATGTACAAGATACGGAAAATCAACAACACTGGCCTCGCTGAACATTTCCCCATTAAAACGATCGTCTCGGAAAATAAATGTTCTCGTTCAACAAAGCAACCTGTAGGACAAGATATCAATAAATTACATCTCACAACAGGGCAGAGATGACTATTCAAAGGAGCTATACGGAATTCTGTTAAAGATGAGAGAGATTGTATGTTTTACTGGATGTTTCGGACAATAGAACATAAATGTAATCTCAGCAGACACCGCCGATGGGGGTTCGTTCTCCACCTTGTTAAAATAATTTTGTTTGTTCTTTAAAACCGCCTTCCGAAATATCGCATTTGGGGGGGAGCCTCTAAATAATTAAGTCTGGACTAAACAATCCAGTGACTGATATCACGGGCATCGATTTCATTCAGAGAGCCTGCGCTTCCCCATCCCAAATGAGCCTTTTAA